CCCTCCCCCTCCTCTCCTGCATTTTTTTGTGAGGGGAGGTTTTAACCCTTTGTTCTCAAGACAAGGCCCTGCTACAAGTGGCCGGCAAAGCCTTTGGGCTTTAACTTTCTTCTTTCAATTTCCCTATTCCAGTAGTCCCAGGATTTTCCTAAATTTTCATTATCCTACAATAATTTCATAGAAAATGTGTTTCCCCCCCACTTAGCATGTTTTCAAAGTTCATCCATGCTGCAGCTCATATTAGCTTTCATTTCTTCTTAATTGCAAATACTATTGCATTGTATGGGTAATTGCCATGTTCATAGTGTCCTTTTCAATAAAAAATAAAACTGCTTTAAAGAAAAATACCAATGAAATGATAATATAATGATATGTAGATATGGATGAAGGCAGCATGCAGAAGGCCAAAATTTGGGAAAATGTAATATAGAAACCCCGTTTGGATTCATGTACAGTCAACATGAACAACCAGGGGTGTGTCTTCTGAGTGGGCAAACATTCTTTTAATTTTGTGGTTTAAGTGGGTGGCCCATTCATTCAGTATTCCCACCAATGCTGGTTTCACCCACTTCTCCAGAGGAGGAAAATGTTGGGTGTGGCCAGGAAATGCTCAATATCTGTTCCCTAGTCTCTCCCAACCCTCCCCTCTCCTCAACCTGCCCAAAGGAATAGGTGTGTTGCCTTAAAGAGTGAAACCCGCCCAGGATGGTGTAGAGTGGCTGAATGATACTTCATCTGGACACAGTAGCGTTCTAGCCCCAAGCACCGGGGGAAGAATCTCCCTTCTCAAGTTAAGTCTAATATCAAAACTTAACACGATCTCACTTATATGTGAAATCTAAAACAAAGCACACAAAACAAAATAAAAACAAAAACAACACCCTGCCCCAAACTCAATGAGATCAGCTTTGTGGTTACCACGGGTGGAGTTGGGTGTGGGAGAATTGGAGGGAGGTAGTGGAAAGGTACACACTTTCAGTTATACGATAAATAAGTTCTAGGCTGTAGTGTATAGCATAGTGACTATAGTGAACAGTGCTGTATGGGATATTTGAAAGTTGCTAAGAGAGTGGATCCTAAGAATTCTCATGACAAGAAAAATACCTCTTTTTTTTTGGTATGTATATGAGATTATAGATGTTAGATAAACTTATTGTGGTAATTATTTCACAATATACGTAAGTCAAATTATTATGCTGTACACCTAAACTTCCACAATGCTGAGTGTCAAGTATATTTCAATAAACCTGGAAAAATGTTGAAATGCTAAAATGAATTAGCATTGATTTGTATCACGCCTGAGAAATTACATTATATTCTAATAGCAACAGATTAAACCTGACACTCATTTACATAGATTAGATACTACTGTATAGGTCTACTTCCTTTATTTTAAAGCCAATGGTGATTACACCTGTAGCCCTCAGGGTGAAGTCAGGGAAACAAAGACTACCCAGTTACTATATTTCTTTGTTTTAAATAAACTCTTTATTTTGTAATACTTTTAGATTTACAGAAAAGTTGTAACAACAATACAGAAAGTTCCTGCTCTATTCCTTTGTTGTTAACATCTTACTTAACCAGGTACATATTAGTATATTAAAACTCACATTGACACAGAACTACTTAGCTAAACTCTCAAATTCAGAGTTCATCAATTTACCCACAAATGTCCCTTTTCTGTTCCAGGATCCAGCGTAGGATATCATGTTGCATTTAGTAATGTTTTTTAAAAAAATATTTTTATTAATTTCAGAGAGCAAGGGAGAGGAAGAGAGATAGAAATATCAATGATGAGAGGAAATCATTGACCGGCTGCCTCCCGCATGCCCCTACTGGGGACCCAGCTCGCAACCCGAGCATGTGCCCTTGGTGGGAATCAAACCCGGGACCTTTCAGTCTGCAGGCCGATGCTCTATATACACTGAGCCAAACTGGCTAGGGCAGTAATTTTTTTTTTTTTTGTCTCCTCTAATCTATGACAGTTTCTCTGTTTTGTCTTTGTATCTCATGACTTTGACAGTTTTAAAGAGTACTGGTCCCCTATTACAGTGTTCCTGTAATACAAAAAACCAATGAATTATTACAGGTTTGTTTGATGTTTCCTCATTGTTAATCCAGGTTTGTTTGATGTTTCCTCATTGTTAGAATGGGGCTATGGAATCTTGGGAAGAAAGCATCCCAGGTAGTTATTTTTTAAAAACTAAATGTTTAGCCTTTACCAGTTTTTCTATCATTGCCCTCTTTCTGTTCCACGCTCCAATCCCGGGTACCGCATTGGGTTGGATTGTCACATCTCCCTGTCCCCTTCATTTTGGGTTAATTTCTCATAAGCTTTCCTTATTTTTCATGACTTTGACAGTCTTGTGGAGGGCTGGCCAGGTACTATTAGATGTCAACCAATCTGGTTGTCTGATGTTTTCCTCATGATTAAACTGAGATCATGGATTAAAAAAAATTAATAACGTTGAGAAGGAAAATGGGGCAAAGTTGGGGGCTTACAGCCTAGTTCAGTAGCTAGTTAAACAGTAATCTTACTTCCCCATTCTAACTGACTTGGGTGGAGCTGCAAAGCCCACCCCCAGGGGCCGCCACAAGAAGATTATATATATTAACGCCCTCCCCCTCCCTCATTGGCAGTTCAGGCTTTGGATCAAAGTCCCCGGGACTAGCAGCGCTGCCTAATAAAGGTTTTACTTTCCCGATTCCTCTGGGGGCCGGCTGTCGTTCTCTGGGCCATTTGCCACAACATTCTCACATGTCAAAAAACAATGAATTGTCCACCATAAATGGGTACATTGTATGGCATCTCAATAAGCTTTAAAAATACCTGTTTGGAAAGAACACCCCAAAGATGAATCACATTACATCATATTATTTAATCACATCATATCAGAGAACACGTGAAATCCACATGATGTTAACTTCCTCCACCTGGTTAATAATTCATTGTTTTTTTTGTATGATATTATTAATTTTAAAAAACTGTGATAAAGTTTTTTAACTTTAAAATTAAAAATTTTTTTTAAGTTTTTTAACATAAAATTTTCCATGTTAATAATTTTTTTAAAAATATATTTTATTGATTTTTTTACAGAGAGGAAGGGAGAGAGATAGAGAGTTAGAAACATCGATGAGAAAACATCAATATCGATCAGCTGCCTCCTGCACATCTCCTATTGGGGATGTGCCCGCAACCCAGGTACATGCCCTTGACCGGAATCGAACCTGGGACCCTTCAGTCCGCAGGCTGACGCTCTATCCACTGAGCCAAACCGGTTTTGGCACATGTTAACAATTTTTAAAAAAATATTTTTTATTGATTTCAGAGAGGAAGGGAGAGGGCAAGAGAGATAAAAACATCAATGATGAAAGAGAATCATTGATTGGCTGCCTCCTGTACGCCCCACAGCCCTCAACCTGGGATTGGGAATCGAACCGTGACCCCCTGGTTCATAGTTTGACGCTCAACCACTGAGCCACACCATGAATATTGGTGACTTTTAAGTGTACAATTCAATAAAATGAGTGACACTTGTGACATGCAACCAACACCACTTTCTATTTCTAAGACATTTTCATTTATAAGGATGAAGAGGTAGAGATGAGAACCTAGAGGTCAAGTTAAGACTTTTCCCCCTTATCTAAAAAGCAGTGCAAGACTTTTAGGTGCACAGCAGGTCAGATTTTCATTTTAGAATGACTCCTGCTGTAGTTGGAGAATGACTTGGAGAACAGATGCCGTGAAGTGAGTGTAGGGCCTCACATTCCTGGCCCCTCCCCGGCCTGGGAGAGACCTGACAATGTGCTCGTGGTGCTGTACTGACTCTGTTGGTATTTTATATTTTTCTTAAGGAGGGACTCCTGCACCAATTGTACAGGTTCTGGATCTGCCCCTCATTTATCCTTAAAAATAAACTTTCAGGATAAATTTATAAATCCTTACTAAGTAATTGAGGGAAACCCTTACACAGGGAATAATTAAGCCACTGTGTCACCTGTTGAATCAGTTATGGTTCTTGGTGGTGAGCCACTCTGGCCGACTTAAGCAAAATGAGAATTTGTTGGAAAGATATTAGGGCAACGTTAGCACATTTTTCTGTAAAGGGTCAGCTTTGCAGACCATATGTTGTTTCTTGTACAGTGTAATGAGCCATTGACAATATGTAAATGAATGAGCATGACTGTGCGGCAATAAAGCTTTATTTATAAAAATAGGCTGCAGTCTGGGTTGAGTGAGTGGGTCATAATTTGCTGACTCCTGTATTTGGAGACTCCAAGGTCGTTGAGTGTTTGGAGCACAGGTTTGCATATGGGTGAGTCTACAGGACTCAGTATATGCATCACCCAGATCTTCTCGGTTCTGTGTACTCATCCCTGCCTCAGCCACTTGCCCTGCTATTCCTATGGATAAAGCCCCAATTGCTGCCATGGCTATTACGGAACCATAGGTGAGGAACTTGGGTTTATTGCTTAAGAACGTGGTGACTCTAGACAAATTGTTCCCTCATGAGGGGGTTGAACTGGATCAGGAATAATGTGCCTATGCTTCCTGGGGTGCTGAGAGGAGAAAGACTTTGAGGCTAGAGACTCTAGTTGAGTAGAAAAGAAAATGTGATTGATTAGTTATGTCTGCAATGAGCACCTGGATAGAGAGAGGTGGCACACTTGCTGAATGTTGTGATCCTGTAACTAGCTGATCTCCAAGGTCCCTTCTGAAAAGCTGCAGTTATGTGTCTGGATACTTCTTTGGGAATATCCTGGAGATGGAACCATCTTATAAAATATAGTCACTGGCATGGAAGTGTGGCCTGGGACTTTACAAATACCTAACACATCGACTTTTATGAAAGAGACAGGATGAGATCCTGATTCTCTGTTCACGATAGACACACCAGGGAGACAGCTGGCCAGCAGAAAAAAGAAGCCAAATCCATAATGCCTTTCACATCAGCCTCATGGTTTAAGTTCATAGCAAAGATTCCAACATATAGTTTTAGTTTGACAACTGTTTATTGAGCATCCATTATAACAATCAAAGATTTGTTCCCTGCCCTCAATAAATTGTAATAGTCTCGTCCTAGTAAGAGCAGAATTAACTAGAAAGACTATCAGGAATGACTTTCTGGAATACGTAGGGGTGGGAGGTTGTGGAAAGTAGGTGAAGGGAAAGAGAGGGCACTCCAGCTTGGGGAGGTATGAATAAAAGGACATTAGTCTTGTTGGAAGGGTGAATTCATGATGGGGGAAGTGAGAGATGAATTTAGCTGATTGCTAGTTGGAAGTGGAATTATAAGGGTGTGAGATATCAGGATGTGGAGTTTGGCCTTAGTCTCTAAATGATGGGGTGCCATTGTGTTTTCCTGGGTGTTCTAGGAAGATAAAGACTTATAGATGGTATGGCGCACAAAGGAGGGGTGAGATGGTCAGGTGGAAAGGCAAGAAAGGAACCTGGTGTAAACATGCAGAGATGTAAACACGTGAGGGTGGGACTTGAGCCTGGAGAATGACATGTTAGGGAAGAGAAGACAGATCTGAGAAGTGTTTCAGAGTCAGGCTGGGCTGGGCATGGTGGCTGGTGGCATAGGAAGGTTGCAAGAGGAAGAGTGTTTAGATAATGGCAGATCTCCGAACCTGGGGTCTGAGGTTGAGGGTGACAGGGAATGAGGATGGACCAGGAAGAAAAGACATCTTTAACCATGAGTTTTCAATGGTGGTGGATATGACCACAGGTTATATCTTGGGAAAGGTCAAGGCTAGAGACATAGAGACATGCATCTCAGAATTGGAAGGCAGTACATCTGATCCAGCTTCCAGCCCAGTGCTGGAATTCCATGGATGTAACCTTAAATGCTGGTTATCAAGGATTTTTGAAGTCTTCCAGGGAGCTCCAATCTCCAAGGTAGGGAGAACTTTTATTAGGTGGTTCCTCTAAGTAGACAAGTTTTCTGATAGATCAAGACTTAGCAGGCAGTGGAAAGGGGGCAGGGATGGAAGCCAGACTTACTGTGTGGCATTTGAAAAGCCATGTAACCTCTCTGAGCCTCTATCATACTGTCTACAAAATAATAGGGTGACGCTAGGGAATTTGCCATAGGTTCAATTTGTTCTGATTCAGAGCGGTGAAAGTTGTAATCATAAGAAGGAATGAATGGATGGAATCTCTGGAGAAGGGCAGAGTCCAGGGCCTAGTGGTGGAGTTGGGGAGGTGTGTGTGTGTGGGGGGGGGCGGGGGGGCAGTGTTAATTAGGAGGGAGAGATCCAGAAAAAGAGGAGGCATCTCTATTAGCCAGAGAGAGCCCATAAACTAGGAGAACAGTGTCAAGGCACCAGCTTGCTAGCTAAGAAAGAGAGAGAACGATTCTTGCCTTACTGAATTTTTAGGAATTGGGAGGGAATCTCTGGAATGGATGTGGGCTCAGGAAGAGGCTACAACTCTAGGTGAGATTTAGAAGCCAACCAAACTTTTATTGAGACGGGAGGAGGTGAGTGAGCATTGGTTTATTAATGTAAAATCTTGAGCTTCATCCAGTTACATTTGTATGGGCATAATTCATAAAAGCTAGAATGAGTTTCAGGTAAGCATAGGAGCAGAAAGTCTGATAAGTGAGTACCCTCTTGGTTGCGTTAATAGAGGTACATAGCCCAGCCTGAGGGAGGTGATGTTCTTGTTACAACCGTGCCTGTGCTCAGTTTTAGTTGGATTGCTTTAAAAAAGACAGGGACAGGTTGAACCTGCATAAGGGGTGTGATGAAAGGACTGAGTGACATTTACCTTTGGGGGGCGGGGGTTTGAGGGGAAAGAAGATTTTGGGGGAGTAGTGAGAGCTGCCTTTAAACATCTGAGGGGGAGACAGAGCACCCGAAAGGATACCCCTCCCTGTCCTTTCTACGTCTATTGCAGATAGAGCCGTTTCCGAAGGGTGCTTTGTACTTCAGGGTTCATTTTTTTCGCCTCCCCTTCCTGAACCACCTCTGCTTCTGCCATCCTCCGGGTTACCTGCAACAAGAAGTGTGGTCATCTTGGGGCTGGGCCTTGGGGGTGTTGGTGTAACAGGCTTATGGGGAGAAGATGAAAGAAGAAAGCAAGTGGGTATTCCTGTCTTCAGATGGGTGACCTTTATTGTCTCATCTATGTTATCAGCTCTATGGAATCATTGGTTGGACAGACATTCTTGTTATGTGTTATTTTCTAATCCACCATAAAATCATATAACCATTAGAAAAAAAAAGTTGGCCCAAACTTTTAACAGAAAATTTTATTTACAGAAGTTTATCTGTCTATTATCTAAATTATCTCACATATTGTGGACTTTGGAGTTTCCTGCATTAAGGAAAGTCATTGCTAGGAGATGGGCTTCCTAGTTTCTATGCTGTGACCTGGGTTGGATTTGGGGCTGGGAATAGGGGAAGGGAAAATGCAGAAAGGTTTGGAAGCGTCTCAGCCCACTCTGCTTTTTCCCTGCTCAGGCTGGGCAGGGATTCCAGGTACCTTGTCCCAACTCACCTCACTCAGAAGCTCCAGGATGGGTCCTTTCGTCTCTGTGAACACATCAACCAGGGTCTGGATGAAGCAGGAGCCTTCTTTGTCATGTCTGTAGGAGAGGTACCCTGGGGATTGCAGAGAAGTGGGCTCAGGAAGACTCCAGTGGAGGTGGGACGGTGGGGGTTTGTGTGGTGCAAGAGGGCCCGGAAGAGGGTGGATCCTGGAGGAGTGTCCCAGGGGTCAGGAGCAGGGGGCAGAGTGGGGCAGCAGAGGCCACTTGAGTCCGTTGGGAGCTCATACCCTCCACTGTGGAGTATATGTGGAGGGCGTCCGTATACGTTGGGATGGTTTGGGGACTGTCTTTCGTGATCATCTCAATGTTGCCTCCACCTACTGTTTCACCAGGGTCCATTTGTTCTGAAACACCAAGAAGAGGAAAAGTCAAAGTCAGAGAGAAAGATGGGGGAAAGGAGAGGGTCATAAGATAAATGAGCAACACAAGACAGCTGGGGCTCTAGATCTGTGTTCTTGGCTCTGTCCCCACCTCCTCGACAGGCCTGCACGATGTACACCTTAGGCTTGGCTCTCAGGGCCTGGCAATTCTTGTTATTTAGAACCTCGAAGAGGTTCTCCAGCTCGACCATCTGCTCGTCTTCTCCTTCGAGTTGACCTTCTAGCCCATGTGCCATGAGCACCACGAAAGCACAGCTGACGAAGTCTTTCCGGGCATCAATGGCCTGCTGGAATTTTTCCAATTCTTCCTGGAATTGCTAGAGCAAGAGGAATGGCCAGACTGAGGTGCATCCCTGGAGCCCACCTTCCGGTCCAGCCCTTCCTCCGTTGGCTGGGACTGGCTTCACAATACCTGAGCAGTGGGGTCTCTCTTTATGGTACTCTCAAATCCCAGCTGCTGGAACATGCGTTCCAGGGCCACCAGGTCCGCCTCCGAACCTTCCCGGGCTTTGGTGACACACAGCGTCAGGGCTACGCGGGCACCTGACATGTCATAGGCCTCCTGAGTCAAGAGATGACAAACATCATCAAAGGGGTAGAGAGGTCAAGGAGAAGCAGGAGAGGTGGTCCAAAGAGGGGTTAGGGTAAAATACCAGGTGCCCAGTTACACTCACATTTCAGATTAATACAAAAATGAGATTTTTTAGTGTAAGTGGAAACTTGGTTCTCAAACTTAATTCGTTTCGGAAGGCTGAGGAGCAATTTGTTTGAAAGCTGAATCATCTTTTACCATTAGAAACTATTCATAGCACAATTTCCCGAGGTGTTAACAACGCGAGGTTCAGTGGTAAACTGACTAAAAATCCCGCAATCTCTCCTTTGTTTGTCGCCTGAGCTACGCATGACTGATCATACAGGTATCAGCAAGAAAGGGTTGTCTGGTCAGGAACTGAAGTTTTGTTTGACAACCGAGACACATTTTTCCTGTGAACAACTTGTTCAAGAAACAAATTGTTCAAGATGGGAGATGTTTGAGAGCCGAAGTTTGACTGTGTGTCCCAAATATTGCATGGGATATACTTATAAGATTATTTGTTGTTGATGTGAGATTCTAATTTGACTGGGCATTCTTTATTTTTTTTTAAATTAAATTTATTAAGTAACATCTATAATAATAAAAGAGTAATATGCCAATTAGACCGGACAGCCAAACGACCTTCTGGACGTAGCCAGGGCTGCAAGGGCTGAGGCAAGCTGCCACGGCTGCGAGGGCTGAGCCCCTTGCACGAATTTCGTGCATCGGGCCTCTAGTTTGTTAATAACGTTATATCAATTTCAGGTAATACAGCATTATAATTCCATATCTGTGTACTATATTGTGTGCTCACTACCAAAAATCTAGTTTGCTTCTAGGGGTCCAGCTCTGTTTTAGTCCTGTATGAACTTGGGAAAGTCACTCCTCCTATCTGAGCCTCAGTTTCCAAATACAGACAATGAGTGTGTGTGCGTGAAGGATTTTGATGGTTCCTCCCAGTTGTCACACTTGGTGGCTTTGTCCCTTCATCCTTTTCATGGGTGCTCTGAGTATTCCTTTCTCACTTGCAGAGGTCTCCACATTTCTGAAGCTAATCCTGAGATCCTATCTTATCCCATCTTAGGAAGAAGGATGTTTGGGTCAACATTTCTTTGCAGAAGAAAAGCATGATACTTTGAGAGAGATGTAGTAGGGCTGCCCCCCCATCTCCGACTTGGGTTCCATCTCTGAGTCTTTTTTCCATTTGAATGATTACAAAGCACCTCCTAGCTCTGAATTCAGGTCATGATTTCTCATCCTCTCCAGCGTCTCTGAAACATTAATCTCTTCACCTCCCATCTCCTCAGAGGCTCCCACCCTTCTCCCCAAACCCGCACCCATCACACCTCATCCAAAGGCCGAGGATTGCTCATGTCTCCTCTGATTCTGAGTCCGGTTCTCAGCACCCTTGACTGATCCTGGGAGTTCAAAAGAAGAGAGTTTGAAGGTCTTTAAAGGAAGGCAGATGGAATCAGGGTACAGGCTAGTTTGTACATCTGGATTTTTGAGAGTGAATAGGACCCCAGTGGTGGGGGCTTGTTTCATGGTCAAATCTGAGCAAGAGACGACAGTCCATGAAGTATGTCCTCTCTACTGGGACACTCCAGTGGTGTTTTCCACCCCTGGATGTTTCAGAACTCTTGCTAGGCCCACCCATAATGCCACTTATCTGGAAATTTTCCTATCTCTCCCCCAGGACACTCACAATCCTGTGACAGACTGCACTCATTACTGGACTGATGAGCAGGACAAGTGGCCTGTGTATTCCCTTTTGCCACCCAGGAGCCGACTGGTTGAAGAGGCATCAACAAGGAGATGGGTTGGGTTTAAAATGAGAAAATCATCAAAGTGGGGAATACTACTTTGAAACACTGTCTCCCTCTGCCTTGAGCCTGAACCTTGAAGATCTTCATTCTCATCTGATCCCAGTTCTGTTTTCTGGCTGAATGGAATGACTTTTGCCATATTCTTGGTGTTTCCCCATCTCCTTGCCTTTCCTTACACTTCTTCCTCAGCCTGGAATGCGTCATTACTAGTCAAGGCCCTTCTCTGTCAATTTGGGTAGGCATCATGTCTGTCGTGTCTTTCCCCACCACCTACTCATCTATCTGCTTATCCATCCATTTATCTATTATTTGATCAGTTGATTGACTCGTCCATCCACTCACTTATCCACCCAATCACCCATATATCTATCTATCCAGCAAATGTTTCCTGGGTATCTATTATGAACTACACGGAACACACTATGTAAAACAGACATGCCCCCTGCCCGCATGTAGCTCTAGTCTATGACATAAATGAACATTAAATCTGTCTCACTCTTTCTCTCTTACACACACACACACACACACACACACACACCATGGAACCAGTGCTGTAAGGAAAGAGAAACCAAATACTACAAGGGAGAGAAAGTAGAAGGACAGAAGGAGCATGGATTCTGGAGCCAGATAAACCAAAATCAAGTTCTGCCTTGGCTCCTTCCCAGCTGTGTGACCTTGAGTATCTCACTCTCCTCTCTGAGACTCAGTTTTCCCATCGGAAAGAACCTTGAAAGAGCACTAGATGCTTTACAGTCAGAGCAAGCAAGGTAGGTTCAATGGTCCCTGTTAAGCCACTGAAAGTTGCCTCTGCCTTTTCCGGACTCCACAGCTCTGCCTGTTTAGACTTGCATTACAGCAGTGCTTTTGATTTTTATTTTTGTGGCTGAGCTGACAGCTCAGCTTTTAGCACTTGAAAGCCTGACTTCTTTATCTCCTTCTCCATCAGAGTCACTGGTGCAGGAATAGGCACAGAGGAGGTGCTGGGGAGAATTTGTTGAGCAAACAAATAATAAACAAATAAACAAATGAAAGAAAGGATGGATGGATGAATAGGTGAAGAACTGGCCAGAATATGCATTCATTCAGTGAGAGGGGAAGAGAGAGAGCAATATCTGCCAAATCACTTACTGACTCTAGAAGTAGCTGCTCCTTAAAGCCAGGCTGTCTCACCACTCTCTTAGTTGCCAACAAGACTGGGCACCAAAGAGTGGTCAGGTCCACGTGCTGACCTCAGAGAGGGAGCTGATAGTGCAGAATCTTCCCAGGTTTCTCTGGAGGGGCCTTTCTGTAAATTGAGCAGCACAGCTCTCTGGGTCTTTATTGCCCCTGTTTTCTGTCACTCAAGAAACATCATGACACAAGGGACACACCCTTGATGAAGAAATGGTCACAAACGCCCACAGATTGAGTGATGGCAAAGCTCAGCCAACACCCCTGGCTAAGGAGGCTGAGGTAGAGCATCCACACCAGCTAGGGCTTTTACACCAGTCCTGTCCCTCTCAAGAACGGCTCCTTCCCCCACCCCCACCCCGGTCCAGCTCATCTGGCTATTATCAACCCATCATTTCCATCATCATGCCCACTTTCATCTCTTCCACATTCAACAGTGCAGATAATACCAACTTCACTTGTTTATTCTCTCATCGAGTATTCAACAACCCGAAGAGACCAGCATTGTTTGCTCCCATTTTTCAGAAAAGATAACTGAGACTCATAGAGGTAAAATGACTGCCTAAGGTCACTCGACCAGTAATTAGCACTGTTGGCATTCAAACCCAGGAAGGTCCAATGGCCTCAACTGATACTTCACAGCTGATTCAGCTTCTCTCTTCTTTCTCATGACCTTCCTCCTCTATTCTTTTTCAGCCTTTATTTTATTTCACTTCATTTTATTTTAATAGCTTTAAAAAAATTCACGTATCTTACAACTCACTCATTTGAAATGTACAATTCAATGTGTGTGTGTGTGTGTGTGTGTGTTTACTATAATCACAGTTGTGCAACTACCACCACGGTCAATTTTAGAACCTTTTCATTACTACAAAAAGAAACCCTGTGCCCTTTAAAAATGTCCCCCAATCGCCATCCAAATCTCTCAGCCCCTGGCAACCACTAATCTATATTCTGTCTCTATAGATTTCCCTGTTATAGACATTTCACATGAATAGAATCATATAATCTTGGTCTTAAGTGTTTGACTTATTTCAGCATAATATTTTTAAGGTTCATCCATGTTGTAGCCTGTATCAGTATGTCATCCCTTTATGGATAAATAATATTCTGTGTAGATATACCTCATTTTGTTTATTTATCCATCCTTATATAGATATTTGGATTGTTTCCAACTTTTGGCTATTATGAATGATGTTGCTATAAACATTAGCATATAAGTCTTTGTGTGGATGTATCTTTTCATTTCTCTTGGGCTTCTATGTAGAAGTGAAATATTCAGCAAAACTGGAACATTCCCATAAAATGCTGCAGCCACCGTGAAAAACAGTAAAGATGATTCCTCAAAAAATTAAACACAGAATTACTATTTGATAAAACAATTCCATTTCTGGGTTTATATGATACCCCCCAACACTGAAAGCAAATATTGAAAATATTTTTGTGCACTCATATTCATGGCAGCTCATTATTCACAATGGTCAAAAGGTAGAAGCAACCCAAGTGTCCACTGACAGATGAGTGGACAGAAAAACGTGGTCCATCCATGAATATTACTCAGCCTTAGAAAGAAAGGACATTCTGACACTTAATATGTGGGGAGCCGATATAGGGTTAAGCTTCAGACTGACCTGTTGGCAAAGTCACAAACAGGTCTCCCGAGTCTTAAACAACCCAATCCGAGAGGTGGCCACTGATTTACACTCGATATCATTTAAAAAATAAAAAAGGGGGAATTTGCCAGAAAGTCCATCCTCCTTGCTGCTTGACACAGTCGCTGCAGGGAAGAAACATCTGCACAGCATATGTTTCAAGGGACCTGGGGTATATGGCATACTGTTCTTAATATGTTTGCTCCCCTTCTTAGCGCTATGTGTTTTAACCAAGGTCACCTCTCCGGGAAAGGTTGTTTCCCCAGGTGGGGATTTTTCCCTGGAGTTAGGGATTAACAGGACTAAGGAAGGGAATCAGTAAAACCCCTTAACAAGGTGCCAGGCGAGTAGTTAATCACTTTAACTACGAACAATCATGCTTAAGCTACATAATCTTTACTTAGGATAATCTCCTTCAGTTACTTCCTTGTAGTTTAACAGAACAACAGAGTAGTGGCCTTGGAAGATAACAAATGCCCTAACCTTTGGAATAGAATGGATAGGATTAAAATCAAATGGTATAAATACAGATGTAACAGGAGAATAAAGGAAGAACCTCGCTATGCTGATCAACTGAACACTGTCTCCATGTCATTCCTTCTTCGCCGACTCTGTCCACACCTTTGGGAACCCCTGGACCTGTTGGGGCTGTAATACAACACAGATGACCCTTGAGGACATTATGCTAAGTGAAAGAAGCCAGACACATAAGGACATATATTGTCTGATTCCACTTATATGAGGTCTCTAGACAAGTCAAATTCATAGAGAGAGAAAGTAGAATGTTGAGTGCTAGGGATTGGGGGAGGGGGGTGGGGAGTTACTGTTCCATGGGGACAGAGTATCAGTTTTGCAAGATAAAAAAGTTCTGTAGGTGGACAGTGGTGATGGTTATACAATAATGCGAACGTACTTCATGCCACTGAACTGTAAACTTAAAAATGGTAAAAATGGTAACTTTTATATTATGTCTATTTTACCACAATAACAAACAAACAGAAAAATCTGGGAAATTGTCATCCCCCCAAGTCTTCCTTTTGTTTCAAGGTAACTCAGGCACCGGACGGGGCAGTTTCTCCCCAAATCCGCATCTCTGCATCGACTTACACATGTATAGCTGTTGGTTACTTGGCACCTGGCACGGCTCATAAATGCCTGGTGTTGTCAGAATTGACACTTGTGTTCTCTAACCCTATGGGTATAAACTGGGAATAAGACTACCTCCGCCATTACAACTATAGTATGGAAACATCTAACATAAGTTTTGGGTGTGGAAGGGGGCTCAAGAATAGATGCTCAAGAAATCTTAGTGGGGCATGAACCAGAATGGTAAAGAGAAAAGAATGATTCACCATGGATGGGAACAACTGTAAGCTAATTAATCAACTAATTAAATTGATAAATTATATTGATTATTACTAATTTAATAGATGCCTACTTTTATTACTTGATGAAATTGAGTGTTTTATTTTCTTATAGTGAACTATCTTCATGGAGCTCTCATGGGGGATCCAGATAGGCCTTAGAGGTTAAGGTGACCAGTGCTGAGGTAAGGGTACAGGGGGCTCTGGGAGCCTAGGGGATACCCTTGATCTGGCCCAGCACAGAAAGCAGAATGGACTATGTTCCCATTGTGGCTTGGCTGCAGGCTGATCATGAACTGTTCTAAGCCAAAATTGCCTTACCTGTTAAAACCTATTTTGAGAACTGTTCTGAGGATAAAACAAAATGATTACTGTGAGTTGACCTCGCATCATCTGACCATTGGACAGGCTCTGGGTGAGACCATGTTTTTGGAGCTGTGGACACATGGTCTTCATGAAAACAGGTATCAGGGCAGTGTTTCTCTTCTATGGCTGCACAATGCAATTGCTTGGGGGGTTCTTAAAACTACAGATGCCTGGTTCCTCCTCCAGAAGATTCTGATTTAAGTTATCAAGGTGGGGTCCTGACAGCGGTATTTTAAAAAAAGGAACCCAGGTGAATGGAATGTATTGCAAGGTAGAATACCATTGGTTTTGTGAGAAGGGACAGAGAGAAACTGAATAAATAAGATAATTCAGATGCTGACACATGTTTACAATGGAAATAGACAAGATGAGGTGATGGAGAACGACTAGGATGGTTGGGGTGGGTCTTGGGGGAGATTGCACTCAAACTAAGTCTTGGGAAGTGTAGGTGCTTACTTTACAAAGCTGCTTCTTCTTTCCCTTATACTACTGGTTCTCCAACTTGGCTGCACATTGGAATCACTGAGGGAGTTTTAAAAAATTAATGCCTGGCTCCCATCACTAGAGATCTGATTTAGTTGGGGCTGAGGCCATGCATAACATATATTTACCCTTGAAGCCATTACTCTAGGTTCATTCTGTCTATAGATTGGCCTATTCTTATTCACAATAACCAAATGTGGAAGCACCCAGATGTGCACCAATGGGTAAGTACATAAACAAAATGTGGTCTATCCATATAATGAGATATTATCTTATATAATAAAAAGCTAATATGCAAATAGACCAAATGGCAGAACATCTGAACAACCGGCCGCTATGACGTCAGCTGACCACCAGGGGCGTGTGCGGAACATGGCGGGTGTTGGCCGCGGCGGGATGGTGGAGCAGGTGAGCGAGGGTGTCAGACCAAGGCTCTGCACCTTCAGTGGGTGCAAGTGGGGCCAGCGCCATCAGCACATGGGAGTGGGTGCAAGTGGGGCCAGTGCCATCAGCACATGGGAGCAGCGGAGGGAGCAGGGCTGCTGGTAGACAGGGGGCTGGGGGCCGACAGCAGTGGGAGCAGGGCTGCTGGCAGACAGGGGGCTGAGGGCTGAGGTGGGAGGGGCCGGGCGGGGGTGCGGAGAATGGGCCGAGACCCGCCCCTGTGCCTACCGCAGCCTCGCAGCCCACAGTTCCTTTCAAGGTGCACGAATTTGTGCACTGGGCCTCTAGTTCAAAATATAAAAAAGAATGAAGCTCTGATATATGCTATACTATTTTTTTTTAAAATCCTCACCCAAAGATATTTTCCTACTAATTTTAGAGAGTGGAAGAGAAAGGGAAAGACAAAGAGAAACATCGATGTGAGAGAAACACATCGATTGGTTGCCTCCTGCATGAGCCCTGACCAGGGTCCGGGCCGAGGAGGAGCCTACAACCGAGGCATGTGCTCTTGACAGTAATCAAACCTGGGACTCTTTGGTCCGCAGGCTGAGGCCCTATCTACTGAGCCAAACTGGGTAGGGCCTATGCTACACTGTTGATGGATCTTGAAAGCATTATGCTCAGCTAAAGAAGCCAGACACAAAAGGCCACATAGTATGTGGTGTCATAGGATTTTTAGAAGCTTCAGATGACTGTGATGTTCACCAAAGCTTTCGAAGCACTGCCTTATACTATATTGCGTTTCAATCAGTAAAAGATTGATACCCAGGTATGGGTGACACTGTTCACAATTGCATTCAGCAATGACATCCCAAACCTGAGAGAAACTTATTTCTCAGGCAGATGTGGGTGAGGGTGCCCTGTCCCCAAGCTGCTCAGCCTCTCTGACTGTTCTGCAGAAAAGTGAGGGGGGATGCTTCATTGAACATGCACTTGCTTCCTGGGCACCACTTTTCTGTGAGTTTACAGGCATGGTTGGCATGTCCTGCTCTCACACACTACCAGAGCATGGCATATACCCAAGAGTTCATGCTCACCCCCTGGACACATGCATGAACTCATCTTTGCAGCAATCGATCCCTTTCCTTGCTCAATGCCTCTATTTTCATTTGTGTCACCAGCCCATGGTTCCCTTTGAACCTCACGTCCTGACCTCCGAGGCACCCTTTGCCTGTGGAGCTGCAGCAGTGAGAACTCATTGTGATGAAAGGAGGTGGTGTTGCTTAAAGATGTAGAAACTTCTTGTCATTCCAGGCTCCCTCGAAGGGTAAATAACCCAGGGCACCCGACAAGACAAGACTTAGTTGGTATCTTGTTCGACAGGATTTTATCAGCCACAGTCAGGGAAGACGCCCATGTTTACCAAGAGTTCCTTCCATTTCAGAACATCTTTACATTTTGCAAACCACTGAGCTTGCAATAGAACAGGGAGCACAGGCAAGCAGCGTTCGTTTCTCAGGCACCCACTCCGAGCATTTGAAGGATGGGAACTTTTGTCCTGATGACTGTGAGATTGCACGGAGAAAACAGGGTTAGAAAAGTTAAGTAAGTTGCCTCAAAAGTGGCAGCTCTCTCAGACTCCTGAGTCCTCTTATTTTCCTTCCTTCTGACCAAAGACTCAGATCGAAGAAAAATAAATTAAAAAAAAAGGGGCTTAGCTATTCTCTCAACTCCAGCCTGACAATGTCACATGAGCTTAGCAGAATAAGTGAGCCGCCCAAGTTGCTCAGGGTGACCTGAAGCAGGTTTGGAAACCGAAGAGTTCTCTCTCTGACCTTCTCTACAAGGCCTGGGCATGAATCTTTTATTGTAGAGTGTAAGGCAGTGGTCCGAAAGCTTTGCTTATATGACATCACAGTCATCTGAGGCTTTTAAAAATCCTGTGACAACACATACTATGTGGCTTTTTGTGTCTGGCTCCTTTAGCTGAGCATGCTTTCCAGAACCATGCATAGTGTAGCATATGTCAGAGCTTCAGTCTTGAATAATATCCCATTGTAGTCCTAACCGGTTTGGCTCAGTGGATAGAGCGTTGGCCTGTGGACTGAAGAGTTCCAGGTTTGATTCCGGTCAAGGGCATGTACCTTGGTTGCAGGCACATCCCCAGTAGGGGGTGTGTAGGAGGCAGCTGATTGATGTTTCTCTCTCATTGATGTTTCTAACGCTCTATCCCTCTTCCTTCCTCTCTGTAAAAAAGAAACAAAATATATATTTTTAAAAAATCCCATTGTATAGCTAGACCATGTTTTGTTTATGCACTCATCCATTGATAGGCATTTGTGTTGCTTCCACCTTTTGGTTATTGTGAATAAGAATAGACAGATCTATAGAGACAGAATGAATCCAGAGTCATGGTTGCAAGGACTGGTAGGAAAGAATGGACTGTTTAATGAGTATGGGGTTTCCATTTGGGCCAGAGAGAGTAGTCAAGCCCCCCCCTTTCTTTCCTTTTCTTTCTTTCTTTCTTTCTTTCTTTCTTTCTTTCTTTCTTTCTTTATTCCTTCATTTCTTCCTTCCTTCCTTCATTCCATACTT